ACAGTAGCTTTACAGCTTCAACCACAATATAGGAACCGTATTCATCAATAATGAGTATGGCCGGTCACCAGTAAACAAATGTCTTTTTTCCCAACAATCTTAACACAAACATTTTTTGTTGATAAAGCTCTTTTTGAGTACACCAGAAACACTCTTTGTTTCGTTATTTTAATTTCTAAAAGTTCTCTGTCGACCACAAGAGTGGGGACAATAAAATGGAGGGAGAACTGTCCCATCCATACAGACAGTCGCTAACACGCCAAGCCTCACCCATGATCTATCCACTGTCAACGGAACTGTTTCTATTACATGTTTTGATGAAACAATGACACATTGGTTAGATTTGTCTGCCTATTCCTGGAATCCCAACTCATCACAGTTAAAAAAAGCTGTCGGGATACCAGTCGCATTGAATTTCTATATTTCGAAGTACACTTTAATATGTGATTCTTGAACATCAACACAAGGCGTTTCTATTATCTTTGAGCAGTCCGAACACGTTCTTCTTTCCAGACAAATTTTATACAAGTCCTTAACACTAATATTGACTCTTTCCAACTCGCCGACTATAAACAACATCAACTGCGCATTAGTCACAAGTCGTCTCAATTTTTCCCTTTCTTTAATGTAGTTGACGATAGTGTCTTTTTTGTTGACAGAAAAGACACCTTTTTGCCTTAAATTGCCCAGCCTTTCTTCGATTATTTTTATCTACCTCTACCAGACAAAGAAGGTATAGACGCACTCACACTTTCCAAAAATATGACATTTTAATACCACACTTGGCTCACGTGTATTCTCTAAATCTGAACATTTGAGTTTTTCTATTTTTCGCCTTTTTGTTTTTTTCAAGTTTCTGAAATTTCAGAATGTTGTTTATAATTTCTTCAAATTTGTCTTTGAACCTGGTTTCAAAAAGATAGTCGTTAAGACCATCACAGTCAAATTCATCGTCAGTAATTCTGTCAACAGTCTGCTTGTTGTTGTTGAAATCCACGTCGATTTCCGCCATTTCCACCAATGACTCAGAGAAACCGTCTTCAGTGTTTAATTCATGTTGATGGTGTTCAATGCCTTTCCTGGTCAAGTCTTCTATAACTTCTTTGTTGTTGGCGACGGATAAAGATTCAACCGGAGATTCGACAGTTTCCATTGGTACTTCGACACGAGGTATTCTGTCGATTATCACTTCCCTAGAATTGGAATGTTGTTATGTTCCAAAATCGACATAAGCTGTTGGAACCCAGCTCTTGGGACTAACGAAGTTCATAAATATTGTAAGCACTATACCATATGTTCATTGATGTTCATTATCTTCTTTGAGTTCTTAGTCATCATTTCCAGTTCTTCAAAGATCTTCACAGGAGAGTTGTATTCACAATGAAAGGTTCGGATTGATGTCTCGATGTCGGTGATTGAATAGTTGAGCAAGTTGTTGTAGTTATAGATGACACAATTCATGGTTGTTCTCAACTTCTTGTGCATGGTGAGAAGATCTTTGTGAAAACTTAGAAATTTTCAACAATATCATTGACGTCTTGCTGGGAACAAAGAGCATCAACGAAATTTACCTGTCTCATATTGAAAACAAATTGTCCCGAAAAGGCATGCGGAGGAAGCTTTTTTATTTTGAAGTTTCATTTATTTTTGTGTTTTTTTGGTTAAAAATGGCTTTTGTTAACATCATCCTTTTATTTTTAGAGTTTATTTTTCTTCAAAATCGGACTGGTCTTTTCCAAAAACTGGGTTATTTGCAAGAATTTCTTGCTTTGTGTAAAAGGACATTTGAAAAGCTATGAAATTATTTTTTATTAAAGAAGAGATTTGTTTCCAAAAAGAAATAAACAACAAACAAAATTGCCGACACTCCATTTTTAGTCGAACCTTTTTCAAATAAGACCGAAAAACAAGGTTTCAGTAAATAACAACTTTGTATCATGTACTCTAGTTAGTAAATTGTACAGATCAAAAACACGTTTTTTTGTGACTAAAAATTGTTGATTTTATACACTTTTAAATCATTATTCATTTTAAAAATTACCAAGTAAAGGGCGGTTTTTTATGTTTCAGAAGGATGAAAAATCACTTGACAAAGAAAAAAAGGATAACAAAATTTATATTTTTAAATTTTAGAGTAATTTTTATTAAGGTTTGAGAACCATTATTAGAAGATTTTGTTTACATTTCTCAAATAAAATAATTCAATTTTTACCATAAACTTGGTTTTTCCATAAGAAGAAATGTAAGTAATAATTATAACGGAATGCTTTACCTTAAAAA